CGGTAATCGAACTGTGAGCTTATAACCCGTAGACCTGTTGTCTCCCATGGCTAGGTTTTAAAGTACGAAGGCTCTAAACCTCTCACTAACTTCCGAAAAGGATTGAGTTGTGAGACTGAGTTAGTCTGACTCTTGACCATTAACCTGTCTGATATGAGTGGACCTGAAGGCACTTGGAAAGTGCCACTCAGCATAGCTCAATGCGTCACGGTGGTACTCAAACCATCGCACCATCCTAAGGTCCAGTCTCGTTGCGGTGGATATTTATATACGTTATTTCTCCTTTAAACTGGAGATTTTGCAAAGCACGTTGATATTGCAAATCACATTGGACGTTTTGGAAACGAATTGGACAGTTTGTATTCTAAGCATAAAATCAGCAATTCGCTGACAAGAAATGAGGACTAAAGCTACTGGATAATTTTCAGGCCACATTGTAGTTATGCTAATGCAACCGATTTGTGTAAATAGCTGGCGCCACTGCAAACTCTTCGGTTGATCGTGAACTTCGATTGCCTCGATCAAAGGCAGCGACAGTTTCCCCCTCTCTTCGGCTTCGTTTATATGCCTCTGCCTCTACGCATGAACCTGTGCTGCTGTCTGCCTATTGGAAAGTCAGATTCTCGAATCACGTAGTCTACTATGACTTAAACAAACCTTACCAACCTTTGGAGGATCATTGTGGAGCACTTGGTTTGTGAATGAATTGTGGCGCACCGTCTCACTATGAACTGCGAGTCCCATCGAATTAAACTGGCCATTTCGATCACTGGGACCGTCACTGATGAAGCAGATAAACGGTGACCCCGTTTTCCTGTCACTCTGTGGGCCTTCGCTTATTTGTGTAAGTACGGATGAATCTATGTAGCTGCACGACTATTGGAACAGTGTAAGCCATCGGGACTCTACCAAATATTGTCTAACTTTATTGGCCTATTGTTACAACATGTTATCAAAGAAAGGGGAGTGCGGCGACTGGACGATGTTCAGGCCACATTATGCTCACGCGAGTGCAACGAAACTGTGCGAGCAGTGGGCGGTTGTGCTAGCTCTTCTCTTGACCATGGGTGTTGTTCACCTCGGTCAAAGCCGGTGACGCAGTTTTCCGCTGTCACTCCATGGAGCTTCGCGTATTTTCTGTGGGTATGTGGGCGAACCTATGCAGCTGCACAACTGTTGGAACAGTGTAAGCCATCATAACTCCACCAAAGCTAACATAGCTTTATTCTCCTTCTGCTGCACGAAACGACCATAATGAGCAACGAGCGAGGGGATAAAGCATATCCGAAGTTGCGGTGGTACAAACGAACGTCATTGGTACAGAAAGAGACCCTCACCGAGCTTGTGTTCGTCGATGACAAAACCACCTACGAGACGGCTGGAGTCGTCGATATCAACGAGAGCACTGCAAGAAACACCATCATTGCGTACAGGAGAGAAAGCACGCGCACTCAGCGCAAATATGGAGGAAACAGCAAGGAGAAGTTGACTCCCATTATCCTGCAGCACTTCGAAGAGATCACTGAGCGGGCATTCTGAGGACACTACGGTGCAGCCACAGCGCCTGAACGAGAACGGGATACCCCTATCTGTATCTGCTGTCTTCAACTCCCTCAGGAGACTAATGGGTGATAGGTACGCTGCGTTCTGTTACATTCAATTTACTAACCCAGGTCAGTGAGACAGTTGATGTGGTCTGTATACTGTATAGTCGTTACATTTCGTCTCTACGTTTGCCTACGTGTTGAGATTCTTCCATTTCAGGTGTTGACTATTGCCTGAAGTCTCCGGTGTGACTGCGCTTTATGTGAATGTTGACAAGCTGCCTACATGTCTATTACTTTCCACCTCGTCTATCCTGGCTGCAGGAGACAGTTGCTCGTTGCTGGAGGGACGGGGTGCGCGGTCTTCCTGGCATTACTAAAGTAGTTCCACCTCGTTTGGAGCGAGCTATGGCCGAGCCATCCCCTTGTGTACGTCCGGCACGTCTGATTCTCAAATTAGATAGGTAGGAATGCTGCATGTTGAAAAGTGTTGGCCGGCTTCGTTGATGAAACGTGCCTCCCATGCACGTGCTTTCCGGTCGTATTCCTTCGAGGTTACGCTGGATACGGGGTGTGTGGATGGAGCTATGGGTAGTGCAGCGTAAGCTACGCATGGTCGTTCTGTAGGCGCAGACATCTTTTGGCTGTTATATGAGTGCCACAGAGACAAGCAAACCCGAACTGGTATGCCACCAACCACACACACACACACACAAATATATATATATATATATATATATATATATATATATATATATATATATATATATATATATATATATATAGTTGAACTGCATCTGGCATCGCCGAGGAATACACCATTTATTTTTTATTTTATTTTATACATATATATATATAATGTGAAAGAAATTAAAAATGGACGCAATTATTGTGTCCTTCCTTCGCATCTTTTCCCTTATTTTGCCGCTGAATGTTTGTCGCCTGAGTCAAAACCATTTTGCGCACTGTTCGTCCACTTCTCTGCTACTTTTATGGACCCAGCTAATAAATGTCCGATGGCTTAAGAGTCATAGAAAACTTAATGACAGAAGTCGCGAAGCAAATAGGTTTCCGCTGCTTCTTAGCAAAACGCTAGGCCAAGTCCGGCTTGAAGAAGCTCCTGTGTCAAGAGCGATACGTTGCCACGATAAAAACCTACAACCGATTTTATCTAAATCCTGTACTCATAGACTCCCAATCGGTTCCAAGCCTATATCAAGATTTTTACTTTTCATCTGTTCAACTAGATCAATCGTTATATTGTTTATTGTGTGTGTGTACACATCAGATCCACGGTAGCTCATGTCTCAAATAGGACTGACGTGCACCTGATACAGGATACGGAAACTGCTGATCATTAAACCACATCCAGCGGGCTTTCTAACCACTCAGATTTAGATCCACTCTGTGCGTGACTCGACTTCGCATAGTGCCATTGACTTGTATGTTTTATTCTCACATAATCATAATGCGTATATTTCTCGTTTGTGCGACTGTCTCTGAATCATGAGTACAATAATGATCATGCTCATGCATGTGTGAGATATGTATTCGGGAGCGTATATCTCATCAAAACATTCTGAAACACATGACTTTTGTTGTTGCTGAGTTCTTTCCTCACTGGTCATATTTTCCTTGGTTCATCCTGGAAGAACTCATTTGGTGATTTGCTCGATGAAAACATGGTCCTCATGGAGTTCTGGTTCAGGGAATCTTCAAGGTTAATGCGGAATGTTCGTTTATTTATATAAGACTTGTTAGTGATTGCTGGGCTATTTCACACGATAACGTATCTGATGAGTAAGAAGTTAGATGGATAGCTGTCCTGTTTCTTCGCACAAGTAGCTTGCAAGTTTTGTTGCGTAGTTCTCGGGTGAAGTTGTGTTGCAATTTTAATGTACATCGATTTTATCTATTTCAGTTTATGAGATTGTGTATCAGCATCAGCTTTTGTTTCATTCGTCGCAAACAAAGGGGCTGGAGGTTAAGTCGCTGGTAATGCTCCTGATAGCTCAATGTGGATAATTTACTGAACAAACTAGTGAATTGTTTTTGCAGATTTTCCAGAGCTTTCCTCTCATCCATACGCTTGTTGCAATAGATGATGCTGCAGTATTCAAGGCCGGGAGGTTTGAGCATTTGAAAAAGGTTCATTTTGACAGGCGTTGGATGGATTTAATGATATATGTTAGCCACAGATCGTTTGGCACGTGTTATTTGGTACTCGGCCTGGTCTGAGAAATTGAAGTTTGAAGAGTACCGTATGCCCCGATCACAGTTATTTTCATATAAATGCGCTCATTATTCATTTTAACTCCTCAGTGACCAAACATCCGTGTGACATGATGCATAATTTACTAGCTGAGAATTTTATCATCTATGTGTTGCATCATTTTTCAAGTGAATCGCTCACTTCTTGAACGAGAAGCATTGTTCTTTGGAGTTTGTCTCGTCAAAATTTATAAACAATCTTAATGCCACCGGCGGACAAAAATGGTCTATCATATTTTGTGAACATTGTTATACTGTTAATATAGAGTAAGAAAAGGGAAGGACAAAGTACACTCCCTTGGATGACACCTCTAGTGATTGGACTTGGGGAAGAGTTGTGATTACCCAGAGTAACTATCTGGTAACGCCCATTTACGTATGACGTCAACCAACCCAGTAGTAGGTTTCTGATACAAATGACGATTATTTTCGCTAGCCGCTTGTGAGGCACCCTGTGAAATGCTTTCCTTATGTCCAGAAACAGCATTATAACTGCATAACTAGAGTCAATAGCTCCTGTGATGTAATCCAGGTAGTGCAACTGACAAGTTGTACATGAACGTTTATCGAGCAACCCCTGCTAGAATTTGTTAGGCAGACCAAGACGATGGGTAAAGTCCATGCTCCCACTTTTGATTAATTTTTTGAGTAACCTAGAAATGATGGGAGTCTGACGAATAGGCAGATAATAAGTGACATTCTGTTTGGGTCCTTTATGATGAAAGGCAATAAACAATGTTTTCCACTGATCCGGAATGTAACTCGATTATAACCGCAGCATGAACATGTTCAGCAAAAGTGGTGTTATGTCATGTCCATCGATTTTAGTGACGGATGCGGGATACATCGGGATCCGGTTTGAGCGATGGTTTGATATAGTGCATAGCCTGTTGGGATAGCCGAAAGAAAACTCTCGACTTTATGTATTCCCCATGTTATTGTACATTCCGGGCAGCAATGTATGTGGTAGATTTCTAGGTTCATGGAGGCTGCGAATCAGGGCAACCGTATTCTCAATACCTTGGTGTATGAAGTATAATTGGCTACTTCTTTTGCTCTTCACCTCACCAACTACTTTTGTTTTGCGTTCTTAAATGCTTTATTGGAATTTACAATTTCAGCCAAATCGAGAATCGTTGTGATTGATCTGTATTCGTTTACTTCTTTTCTTTGGTTCATTTTTAGACACATCACGATGAGACTACTTCTTGCTCCTTGTCTACTGAAAGCGATAATGAGGGTGATCAGAACGTAGAGTCTGCGGAACTCTCTCGTATCTTATGGCACACCGCTGAGGATCGCTTGCGTTCTACATTCAAGAGGTATCTTCGTGAACGAAATCGTTCTCGAGTGCTGAGTGGAGCTAGCGATTCTTATCAGTTGAACCGATCGATAACACGCAAAAATCGATGCACTTCCGATGTCACAGACAGTGACGCCGATCTCTCCGGTATCAGCAATGATGAGGGGGAGCAGTCAGAAGTATTTCTGATTGCAGAATTACGTCGTACCATGGAAAGAGTCCAAGATAAGACCGATCTCACGGAGAACCTTATTTTGGAGGTCAATTCCCTGAAGCACGCCTACAACATTCCGATTGAAGATCTACATTTCCTTTTAATTAAAGCCCTCTTGGAATTGACTCGTTCAAACACTCCCCCCGTCTCTGATGAACTAGGCGAACGGGCGCAGCTCCGTTTATTCATGGTGGAATTCACCAAACAGCTGGAACGCTTCCATGGTGTACTGAAATCATATCTTTGTGGATCCCATGCACACGGTCGTTTGTGCCTACAAGCGCTAGAAGATTCGGCCTGCTACCAGCCCTTAATCATGTCCGCCAGCCCTTTCATTGCGCATGCCTTGTACGATAAGGACCTGGTAACAGAGCAAGCTGTCTGGTGGTGGTTGAGCGAGTCCCCTCTCCTGGTCGACGAAGAATTAGCAGAGCAAACGAAACTAGTACGAGAAAAAATGAAACCCTTCCTCGCATGGCTGAAAGAGGCTGAAGAGGATGACAGCGAAGAGAGTTGCGATCCAGAGTAGAACTTATTGTGTATGAGGCGAGATCTTGTGTACATATTTTATTTTTCTTACTTCTTTCTGTCCACCGACTTGACAACCTTTCTGCGGAACCATTCTCCACTTGCATGAAAACAGCCTTACAAGCTTTTGGGAAAATTCACTTGTTTTGTAATTTTATCTTCTAAAGTTGAACAGTCTCGTGCTCCTGTTATTCCTCCCGTTAGGCAAAATAATTTTAGGATAATAATGCCAAGGAGGTTTCAGTGGACAAGGAATGTTTCGGTTCTTTATCTTCACAACTCGTATCAATAAGGCCACTAATACGCCGGCGATACAGCTCTAACCTGGATTCCCACTTTCGCATTACAGTTTATTATTTATCATCCTAACATGTAAGTACGTATCAAGGGCAGTCACCTTTCGTATCGAAGCTATAGTAAAAATGATGAGAGATGTAATGACGGACGAGAAACTTGTTAGTCGATTGACAAGCCCTTCGGATTGAACAGAAAGCAGACGCAGCAGCGCATGTGGGCCCTGGACTTTGTTACACCATTCGTCGTAGCGACAATGGACATTAATCTGATGCGTTGGTTTGCGTACCTACGCGATTCATCGAATTGCGCTGGTTGACAATTTTCAACTTATTTCAGGTCACACAGTTCAGTCAATTGGTTTCGGATAACTCATCTATTGGAAATGATGATGCGCGGTCCGCTTGACTTAGAGTAAGACAGCTGCAGGTAGTCTTCGACAATCGATCACAACAGTTGTTCAGTGATACTACTGCCCACCACAAAATCGGTTGTCCCCAATCAATAAAGTGCAATCCCAGCGAAATGCGTTTGTCTCTGGTCACAATGGAAAGGTGTACGCGAGTTATCCTGGATCTCCCGAAGGCGCGTGATGGTCCGTTCGTATGAGGCTATGTTTTGTAATCCGCAGGTTTGAATTTTTTATGATTTGGATGGCCTCACAACATCCTTAGTTCGCGCGCGGTTGTTAGTGGTTTCGTGACAACGGTTCGTCAGCACCACTTGCCATTGTGCTGTTGATGCTTTTTTCATGGTCGCGTTGTAAACCTCATGCAGCTCCGACTGGAACCGTTGGACCAAAATCCCGGGTTGGACCTTGTCCTCGTCACCTTGGGAATCAAACTTTTGAGTTCCAGACTCCGCGTTGTGTCCTTAAATCAACTTTCCCCCTATAAACCTTGTATGTCAAAGCGCGAAACCTCTCTCTGCATAAGCAGCCGAAGAGTGTAGTATGCACTCGAGACGCCACCATTTGTGATTTTTGAAAGATCTACTCATTGTCAATTGAAATAAACTGTTTCTGACTTCGTGAGTAACACTAACGCTTTACCTAACTCGCACTTCACCCCGGCAGTCCCATTTCATGTTGACACATCACTCAATGAGCGGTGCTTTTTGCCAATCTTCGACTCGATGTATACTGTCCTTGAAGCACATGTAATATTGGTGGCTTTGTCTTAAGCTGCCTGACCCAACATCCCCGCGTCTGCTAAAGCTCCTATCACGTCTGAGGCTATTCTACACCGAATCCCGAGAAGTTTGTGAACTACAACGATTTTGCTGCCATGGCTAACCAGTTCGATATCGTTTTGCTGTTTGATCCTGTCTAGGAACGAAGGGGCTTGCACAAAATCTGCATTTCCACCTCAACCAGACTCCATATAAACAATATGATCTATCAGGATGTGCTGCGGTTGCGATCCGTCAGATTTCCATCATACACACTGCTTACGTGATGCTGTGTTGTCGCTAGGGCCAAATGGGTCTGTCCAAAATTTTTGGTCGTTAATAACTATTGCGGTTTTTATCTCAGAATTTGGATGCATATATCTCGGCTCAAATGCATTACTTTTAATCGAACTAAAAATTATTTGAATTAACACACCTTTGTTAATGGGAAACGTTTTTATTCATCCCGAATAAATGAAATGCCAATTTTACTGGCGATGAACTCGTCCAATGCGGTTTGGCTTATCTTTTGGTTCTAAGCCATTTCTCCCTAAATAAGGTGTTTGAAAATCTGGTAATCTTTAGGGGATGAATCAGGGGAGTATAGTGTGTGAGGCAAGATTTTGAAGCCCGACTCGTTCAGCTTCTGTGGAGGGTTGGCTGTGCGACATCTGCCGAGCGTTATTGTGGCGAAGAACTTGTCTCTTTCCATTGACCGTTGCCGGACGCACTTGCTTAGGTTTTCGGTGTACTTTGCAATCTCATGACAATGCTTCCACCTGAATTCAGAAAGCTATGCAGGACCAACCACAGATTACCAAACATCCATTATAACCATTCTGTGTGCAATTTTATCTTTTGGTAGTGTTGTGGGGTTTTATCATGGTCCAACCGCCGGACATCCATTGTCATATAAGATCCACGTTTTATCACACGTCACATTCCGGTTGAGAAGCTGGTCATTTTTACTTCGCAGGGCAAAGGAAAATAACAGTCAAAAATGACGATTTCCTTGATTTTTATTCAAATCGTACGGCACCCACTTATCAAGCTTTTTTGAGATTCCAGTCCGTAACTTTTTGAAAACCGTCACTTGCGATCCTGCTAAGTCAGAATCAAAATCCCCAATAATCAAGTCCCTTAATTGATCGTTGTTCACTTCAGATGGCTGTCCACTATGCTCTTCATCCTCAAGTCTCACGTAAACATTTCGGAATTTTTGAAGCCAACTGATGTATACGCTCAACCTTGTGAATCCACTCGCAAGTGCACGCGTGTATTGCCTACAACGAATTGGACAAATACATGCCTGTTAAATACTGACGATCAATACTCCTGCATGTTTCCTTCACCTAATCATTCGTTAGATTACACATTTCGTAACAGTTGGGAGGCTCTGTTGCGTTTTGGCTTGAGGCCTAGTGCGCTTACAGGGATAAAACACCAACGTTGTGCAGTTTGTTCAATAGCGGTTCTAGGACCAAATGCACTGCCGATGTCACTAGCATTTTCCGCTGTTTAATTGGAACAATACACTTGTGGGAATTTCCCCTCTGTCCATATCGTATTAAACGTTCTGTAAAAGTTGAAACAATGAGTCCCTATCATCCACTACATTAACGCAGTAAGAAGACATAGGTTGCGATATATTAACATTTTGATTGCTCTCGTCAGTCGCTACGCAATACAGGCTGAACAAAACACGCAATATATAGGGCCCACACTTAGTAACATAGATAAGCAGATAAAATTGATGGGAATGACGTAATCAAGTCCAAGGCAATCTAATTGATTGCCTCAATTGTTTCTGGACACAGAGCACGGGACACTTCAACCTTATCAGTAGCGCCTCGCCAATTGCCAACAACATCGGGTTCCTGTTGCGCAATAGCACCCTGAATGAATCGGTTGGGTTCACCTGGTGACGAGTCAGCATGTGTTTGGTGATAGACGAAGCAGGGTTCCGGTTCATACTTTGGTTCGCTCCGCCTTGGTTAGACAGCAACTGCCTTAGCCACAATGGGAAGTGTTCCGCCACCCTTTGAGCCAGCCGGCGACCAGTCTTGACTATGTAAGTGTCAACGCAACTGCAAATGAACTGGTAGATGATGTTAGAGGCCGAACTGATTTTTCCAGCTTCGCCCCAGTTGCATACATGCGCGGCCTTGTAAAAATTCTTCTACAGCACCAGGCGGATTTGCAGTCCGGAATTGCTCAAAGCTGAAGAAGAGTTCTTACACCGGACTTTGCTAGCCAATGGGTATCCGGAGAAATTCATTCAGATCCATAGCAGACCCCCCAAGGAGAAGCTGTCCGTACAAACTGCGTAGGAGAAGGATGTTTACTTGTTCTTACCCTTCAAGGGGATCACTTGGCAAATGAAGTTGGTCACAAACTCAGGTCCGCTCTAATGCGCATTTACTCTACCGCCCAACTACGACTTATTCACACTACACGAAGGATTCCTCTCCAAAGTCGTCCGAGCAGCTCGCCAATCAGTTCGACCTCTAACATCATCTACCAGTTCATTTGCAGTTGCGTTGACACTTACATAGGCAAGACTGGTCGCCGGCTGGCTCAAAGGGTGGCGGAACACTTCCCATTGTGGCTAAGGCAGTTGCTGTCTAACCAAGGCGGAGCGAACCAAAGTATGAACCGGAACCCTGTCTCGTCTATCACCAAACACATGTTGACTCGTCACCATGTGAACCCAACCGATATATCTCGCGTCAATCGATGTCGCTCCGGTCAGCGTCCGGATCTCCAATGACTCAGGTGTGGGCGTTAGTTCAACCTCGCGTAGCAAATCATCCCAAGCCAAGGTGAGATCTGACACGGTGTCTAACAAGTCATAGGTCTCATTTGATCCTAGAGGGTCACGTAGGCGTACGGGCATAATGGCCAGTTGCACCTCTTATCGTGAACCGGAGGTAGTGCAACGGCTGTTTGCCGATGGCCACGGGTCATACTTGCGTTCCAAGTGTAGCAGTGGGTGCTGCCGGCCTCTGCAACCCGACTGTCCACATCTATGGTATGACATGCTAGAAGCGGCTAGGTGGCCACGGTTGAGACAATTGTAACATCCTCTCTTTTGTTTAATTAGTTCCCAGCTAGCGAGTACTGCACAAAGCAAAAAATCTCTGCATGAAGCAGTGCCATGTCGACTGTCACAAACTAAACAAGGTCCATCCGGTTTTGCCTCAAACTTATTGTAGTGATCGATCGTGGCGTTATTCCCTCTACGTATTGGGATTGGTGAACCTTGGAAACTATACCCCTACCGAGTCAACTGAATCCATAACGTAATCAAGACCCACCTTAAGCAAATCATGTTCCTACCTAAAAATCTTCAACTCAAGTCATAAGCATATCAAGTTGTATCCAATCTGCCGCAACGCACCAATGCGTGCCCATCGTTTTGACCAGTTGCAAATCAGTGCACGAGTACTCAGAACACCTGCATCAGTTGGTGCACCGGTTAGGTCCATGTGCATATTCGGCTTTGCGCTCACCCAACACACCAGGTGATGCACGCGAAGACGTCAAAACAACATGTGAGCTCAATCATCGTAGGATGCGGTGCGGACTGCCACGCGACATCCATGGATGATTAAGGAAGTACTTTATCTCCCACCCACTCACGTATGCGGCTTCAAGACGCACAACACAGAACTGGGGGCCGGAGATTTTCCATTCGCGTTCATAGTGATCACTGTTGCGCGCAGCCGACCGGACGTGACGTGCGCTCCGCAATGAGATTCAACATCGATTGCCTTCACTGAAGCTCGCTACATGTAAGCTAGCAGGCATGTTCGTCAGCCTCACGTAGTGTCACCTATGCTTACCGTTGTCTACATGTGAACGGGTGTGGGTAATAGTGCCTAGGTGAAATAATCAGTGCGTGCGGTGTTTCGCTACGCATTACCACGGAACAGTACGTTAGGTATCGGTGGGTGTA